TGATTAGGTAACAATTTTGCCTTCGTGGCTTCATTGGTAATTGGATTAATCTCTACTAAATTCTTGATTCCCCCTATGCTTATTTATAATCCTTAAATCATAAGTTTGTATATTTGATCCTAATTTTGAACCTAAGTAGATATTTATTATACACTTGAGCCTCTTAACTATAAATATCTCGCATTTTCATCGATTGTGTCCTTTTCTATAGATAATGCATGTGATAGGTAATGCCTACATCACTTATAAACTTCTCCTGGCTCATTAAATCCGTTGATGCATTTTTCTTTATTGGAATATATTAAAGCTTATTGTTAATAAAGCCTACCACTTCATAAACTACATTATTAATCATATGATTGCCAGAACTTAAAAATTTTGTTGTCAAGTGAAGAGCTTAGTGGTAAATCATCAAAGTATAAAGTAATCTCATCCTATTTCCATCACTTCATTTAAACACTGTTGTTATCTATTGTAGAGTTAATAGGCACAATACTATAACGACCCAGTGATTTTGAAACAGTTAAATTAAAATCTTTAGTGCCTGTTTAACATTAGAACTAGTTGTATGTTTATAGAAAAAATCCTATTGATAATTGCTTTCCTGTATTTTCCCACTTTCATGATGTGTTGTAATTTGCATGTAAAATGAGCCTAAATTCGAATGAAACACATAAATAGAAAGCAATTTGCCATATTGGATGAGTATATGGTCAACTGAACACTAAATAAACTGAGAGGATTAACTAAGATAGGGAGTATGCGACATTCCATTATTTATACGAATGGTTATCTTCTTGGATGTGATAGCCCAAATTAGAAAAAATAACTAGCTATCTCGGTAAAAAATAGGCATACACTCGTTTTTTCCTTATTGCATCAACCATATTTTTGAAAATAAGTTGTTTGGCTTTGTTTTCGCAGCATGATCATATTGGCAAGGAGGCCTTGAGGAACGCACCTTCTTCGGAGTCCGTAATATGGATGCTAATTTCCAGAGCCCAACCGTGGACTTGGTACATTTCAAGACATTTCTCCGGCATCTTCAGTGAGCTTTGCCAGTCTTAATACCGCACTAAACTTCGTTAAAGAGACAAGTTTAGTTGATTCTTTGACCAATTGTCCACTATAAAGTTGTGATATTTCTGTTTAGCAGACAATTGGTCAAAGGATCGACTTCACTTGCCTCTTTAACGAGTTATAATGTGGTACTAAGAATAGCATGGCTCATTGACGATGCCAAAAATACGTCCAGTACGAATCGGATAAGGATCATTCCTCTAGGTCTTTCCGCCAAAATGACCAAGTTGCGAAAACAAGGTCAAACAACTTTTATACAACGAAAGGAGACCCTGACCATACAAAAGGCTACCTCATCTTGGCCTTTATACTGTCCATATTATTTAAAATTTATATTGTTATCGCTCTAAATATCGCTAAAAATCTTTTTTTGAAAACCTGAGCCTTAACAATTGTTTTAATAAAATATAAGATGGATTGAAAATAAATATCGGTAATATTAGAATAGCTTATATGATAAAAGATATTTTGTCTACTATAGACTGCATCGCATGCTGAATGAGAAAACCTCCGGTCATAAAGTTTTTCATGAAAATTACTTGCATATCAATGACTTTTATTTAATCCAATCTATTTCTCTTGATTATCAGCTTTTAAAGCAAGAAACTATCCACTTTTCTCATTCTTTTTAATATGCGTAACTTATGGCTTATTGGCAGCATTAATGTTTTGATCATATATATACATATATAACTAGCATTAGGCCATGGGCATCAAGTGGAAAAAAATTAAATAAATAAAATAACTGGGAAATGAGTAAAAAGTGGAACAAATGGAATTGTGAAAAGACTGATCACCTGGTCTGCTAAAATGGCATCTATAATTGCCTTGCTTTTGGAACGATGACGATGAACACTGCTAGTTTCTACGCATATCCATGATCCAGCGTCACGCTGACTTGCCCAAGCCACATACATACGACTCTCTAGCAGATCAGAATCCATCCATTGTTGATTTATGTATACGCCACCATTTCCTCCGGGTCCCATTCCAGGCAGCAAATTTTGCTGTCCAGTGGAGGGGTTGCCAGGTATTTTTCCTAACATTACATCATGGTTTGTTGAGGCGGAAGGCAAACGTTGGACACCAAGATGGTGCCATTCTAACCTCTTGTAAGGGTCAGCCTTGGCATCGAGCGAGTTGAAACGGGCCCGGCAGACCAACTCAAGTGGTGTGCCGAAGTAGACCACTTTGGGGCCAGTTACCGTGACAACTGATAAAAGTAAGCAATGTCAAGTAGTCCCTTTAAAAAATATATATTATAAATAGATAGATAGATAGATAGATAGATAGATAGATAGATAGATAGA